TCTTACGGGCAACCCCACAAACCAACCTGAAATAGTGCCGACAAACCCTGCTATACAATATAAGCCCTAAATCGTTTTAGGATTCTGAGGTTATCATTTGTCATGACCTAAACCCTCACATCTTCCAGGTTATTTGTGTAATTGTTTCACACGAATATAAGCCCTAATTAATAAAATTGGCAGGATGAAACACTTAAAATTTTTCTCCTCAAAACTGAAACCAAACTTTAGGATAGCTTGAGAAGTCATTGGGGTTCTCCACTTGATCCATGACATCCCCTAGTTCCTCTTCCTTTGGATTCCACAACAAAATGTTTGAAATTTGAACTAATCCCCTTTCACACCTCTATGTCCGATTTTGCTGAAGAGACATACCCCTTGAAATTTTTTGAAGATAATGTTTCTTGATTTTTATCGAGAGTCTTCTTAGGTGGCTTTGGTCATTTAAGATGTAATTAACTATAGGGGCTTGCCCTTATAGGAAGTATGTCCAAACCCAGCTTAATATAAATCCTACTTAATCCTTTATATTAAATAGGGGAACTTGTCGGCAAAAAAAAAGGTTTCACAGATCAAACGGACGTCATGCTTTCCTTAGTTTATTTGATGGAGCCTCATCCTCAAGTCATGTGTTTATTCTTCGGAATAGATACAGGATTTGAGGTACAGTGCTCTTTCATTTTAAACTATGAAAAATATGGGGTCAGTTTGATTTCATACTTCAAATTCCTTCCAAAGCGGGCGACGGGATTTTGATTCCGGCAACCGACAGCTTCTTACGGGCAACCCCACAAACCAACCCGAAATAACGCCGACAGCATCTGGCGACTCCGCTGGGGAATGCTTTTCTCTCCATATAAATCAATAAATATTATCTTCACACATCGGTAATGTGTCCATGTCCCTCTTGGACAAAATTACCTTTCTTCTATTGCCATACTTCACCCATTTCTATCTTGGGAAAGTACAGCTAACTCCTTGGACTTCAGGACTAACTGTTCAACCATATTTTAACAGAGGGGTTCAGAAGGCCATTAAGGACTCTTTAAATTTTCACATAGGGTCGAATCCCCAATAGGTGTGTCAGTGGACTAATTCCACCTGGGCATTTTTTGCCACTAATTGGGTCCCGCACTGGGTCCTAAAATTTTTAACTTTCTAAAATTTGACTTGCTATTTTGTAAATTAAACAAAATCATGTTGTGCTGCACGTACTTTGAAATATTAATTAAATCTTACACCTTTTTGAACAAAGATGTTAAAATTACCTGTAAATTAAGACCCGCCCGACCTATAGATTAACCTCTATTTTCAGTGCTTGCACTAAAGATTATGAGGTTTTTGGCTATATAGTTAACCCTAAAACTTTCTGTTTTAAAGCCCGCTGCGATGGCCTACTCAATGCTGACCTTTTCTTGCAACCTGCCAATGGACCGCAGTGCCCATAACGTCGCTCCTACCATCAAGTTCGGAGCTAGATTTGAAGACCTCGAGGTTATCCTCGAGAAAGCCCCCTACGTGGTAATGAAGATCACTGCTCCGGAAATACAAGAGGCATCTGCAGAATTCAGTTTAAACTGCCTTCAGGACTTCCCTGCCTGCAAGAAGGCTAAAGCTGTTGTCATCAAGCTTGCTATCCCTGCTACTGCTAAGGGAAAAGAAGTGA